CCTACATGAGACCATGTCTCAGACAAACAAAAACGAACAAACAAAACCAAGTTTCTCCACATTCCAATGCAACCTCCCCAGAGGAACGAACTCTAATAGATATTGTTCAATGTTCAGATGTATTCCCTTTTACTTCATTCTGTTAATTTCAACAGAAGATTACAGAATGTATGACCTATTGGATATTCAATTTTTACCATCATAAGCAATACATCATTAAATATTTTTGTATGTGTGTTATTACATACTCATGTTCTTATTTCTTGTTACATCAACCTATTTCTAAAAGTGGTTAGAATTTATATTTCAATTTTAATAAAATTCATAAAAACTACCTTATGAAAGGGCTATTACAAAGAAACAATTTTCACAGGACTTCATAAAAGTACTTATTTTCCCAACACCCCTACTAGTATTATATGTTATCGTTACTTTTAATCTTTTGTCAATATGATGGATCAATAATGATACTGAATTTTAAAATTATGTTAGCGTGACAAGCATCATTAACTGATTTGTTTTCTGTTTGCAGTTATTTTCTAATGAGTCATTTTATTTATGTTCTTTATCTAATTTGTATTTTGCTATCGTTTACATCTTTTAACCTTAGAAATAAAAAATGTTCCTTCTCGGCTTGTCTGAATTCCATTTTAGTTACATTTTAACTTATAAATCTGTATGACAATTTCAATGTAATTTGTAGATTTCTGTGTAGGAAAAATATCTACAAATCTGTTTGTCTTTTAGTCAGTGAATTTCCTGCCTTAGAAGATTATGTTAACCTGGAATGGGAAATAGTCTCAAGTCCATCTTCTCAGTGCATGTATCGATTCACTCACTACCTGTTTAGTTTTTAACCCACATGGAAATCTCTTTAAGTAGCGAGTAAAATGGGACTCTAGTTTTATTCTTTCCCACATTATTACTATTATTATTATTATCATTATTATTATTATTTATTAGTTTTCAGAGACATGGTTTCTCCATGTAGTTTTTGGGGCCTGTCCTGGATCTCGCTCTGTAGACCAGGCTGTCCTTGAACTCACAGAGATTCACCTGGCTCTGCCTCCCGAGTGCTAGGATTACAGGCGTGAGCCACAGCCACCTGGCCTCCCACATTATTTTGATAGTGTTTATTACCTCTCTTGTTGCTCTTTCTTTTGCTTCTTTTTATTCTCCATTTGTATTTAGTAGAGGTGTCAAAAACTGAGTAATAACAAATGTGTGTCATGAGTATCTATTTTTCTATTATTTCCCTTCCCCTCCTCTCCTCCTCTCCCACCTCTCCCCTCCCCCTTGTTGGTAACTTTGAGGTCCTGGCCCATCCCCTCAGACTATCCACTGTTCTCTATTGACTTGCAGGCCACATTCTCACCTCTCTGCTTCTGTGTTGAAAGCACCTGAGTTTTCATTATGTTGAACTGTTATAGCAAAAAAAAAATCATGTCATAAAAAGTATGGTTACACAGGATTTGAGCAAATATACTAAGAAAAAGAAAAACATGCTTTTTTCAAATGGCGTTCTTAGAGCTTTTCATTCTACCAACAAAATGTACATTATGCTCAGATACTCATGAAACCTTTACCAAAAAAAAAAAATCAATTGAATGCTAACACAAAGTACGAGATTTCACGAGAACATGCTCTGATAAAATATTTATATATAAAAAATACTGCAAACACAGAAATGAGAATCTTTTTATAATTAATGTAGAAGAAAAGAGAGGAAGGTCAAACCAAATAAGCCCTAACAACTGAAAGGACAACACTTCTCATCATCAGAGTGTTAAATGTGCTAGTTGCTTCTTACCCTATCTCAGCAAGCAACTGCTAAATTCTGTGCTGTATGTTTATGAGTCCTTAATGCTTATGGCCTGAAGCTATATTTTAATTGATATTAATATTACTGCTCTCTCTTGGGTTGGTTTTCTTGCACCTGATTTTAAAGTCTGTTTCATTAAGGATACCCCTTGCTAGCCGGGCGGTGGTGGCGCACGCCTTTAATCCCAGCACTCGGGAGGCAGAGCCAGGTGGATCTCTGTGAGTTCGAGGCCAGCCTGGTCTACAG